CCTTCGCACCGCGAACACCTTCTCTACCAGGTACTCCTGGCTCTCCAACCTTTCCTGGTTTACCACTCTCTCCAGGAATTCCAGGTTGTCCTGTAATCACCACATCATCAGTATCATACAGTTAGTGATTTATTGATACCAGGATATCCATCGCGGCCAGCTTCTCCTTGTCGTCCAGGATTTCCCGGTATTCCTTCCGGTCCCATTGGTCCAGCCTCTCCAGGAGGTCCTGGTGGTCCACGAGGACCATGTGGACAAACTCGGCAGCCTTGTTGCTAAAAAACGTAATAGTGAGAACAGAAATTTTCTAACAAAATCCCTACAGGGTCAATCGTGACGGGAGGAGCAATGCCAGCAAGTCCTGGGGCTCCAGGTTTTCCAGGTGCTCCTGGCTCACCATCCATTCCCTAAAAATATTAATGGTAGCTGTAGCTTTCAAAAAAGCCAATTGTGACTTACTGGCTTTCCAGGAGCTCCAGGAGGTCCTGGAGGGCAAGCGTTGTTAGCGTCGCAGTCTAAAGTTTTTTGCTTATATTTTTCACTAAGAAATTGTTGGATTTCTGACCAAGAAAAACTCACTGCACACGGCGCTTTCAACAAACGCATCCTCCTTCACGTATGATGTCGGCAACGTATAGGTGGTCTTTTTTGGTGGTGGGGGAGGTGCACCATAGGCCTGAATGATGGATCTTCATCAGATATTTTGAATTCGAAAAAAGTGAAAAATCTAGTTTGTCGAGCGCGAGTCCATAACTATGTTCATAATTCTATTTTGGTATTCACAAGTGATTTTCTTAAGCACTCAATTTTCTTCAAGAACTTGGAACCACTGAAAATCTTACGAGTAGCGTCATCTGCTAATTTGAGTTATCTTGATTAAGTTATTCCTTCCAGGTATCAAAGGGACTGATGAATTTTTTTCCAAAAGTAATGGCCCACTTTCCACCCTCACCTGCCTCCTGATCCTCCCTGCATCGCTAAGTCGAGCTTTTGACAGCTCCGTCCATGTCATGTCAGCGATAACGCGGAACTCGTCCGAATCGACTCGAAGCTGAAACGTCAACATGATTTCATTTCAGGGCCGTAACGCACGAGGATTACGGTAAACAGGGCGGACCTGATCGTTGATGTTCTGAATCTTCACAACTAAAGCTGGCATATAGAAGAGGCAAACCAGAAGGGCTCCAGTGGAGAAGGCACATGCCAGCAGGCCAGCATTTCGTGCCGAAAACATCTGAAATATGTCAAGTGTCAAATGTAGCAAAAATCCGGATTACGATAAAATCACGATGGTACAGTCCTTTGTATCCGCTGGATATAAACGTTCATGAGCATTCCTGGTCTCTTATATAGTATAGGTTCGCCCTCTTAAAGTAGAAGAACCTGACACTTGCTTCTCACAATGAGGTTTTCTCATCAGCAAGTCATGTTCTTATTTTCTTGCTCTAAAGCTAAACCAACCATGGTTAATGGCCTGTTTCTTTACAAAA